CTAGTCAAATTATAGAATAGCTTTAGCAACTCCAGTGTTGATCACATGGAACAATATTTAATTAATAAAATAACTACAAAAAGGTAAACTAAGAAAAACAACAGAAAGGCGGTTTTATCCGATTTTACAGGTTCAAAAAAACTTAAATTAAAATATCTAATTAATGACTAAAAAGATGATTTAAACCAAGAATAAAAGATACTCTCGTTTGGCTTTTAATCCTTCTTTTTTCCTATGGTTGGTTTCAAGACAATGGATTAATTCCATTAGTTACCAAATAAAAGTTGTTAGTCATCATGATCAAACTAACTAGCATAAGTCAATTCAATAACTTTAACCAAAATGATCATGAAAGTTAAGGATACTAAATTGATTTTAAAGTTAACTTGGACTGTAAATGATAGAATCTACAGATTACTATTATTTGGTTAAGTCTACTAATCAAGCAGATGTTATGATCAAATACTGCTCTCTAACTCAGTTAAGCAACTAACTTATTACCTATACTAGATATGGCCAATCTGTAGCTCTATCAATTTAATGATCATAAATAGCTAGGTAAATCAATTTCATGCAATCAACTACAATTTAACTACACAAAACTTGAGACAATGCAATCAAGATAGAAAATTTAACAAGCTAGGTTTAGATTTATCAAACATTATTTAAAGCTAAAATACTAACTTCATCAATTCGTCAAATGAGAAATCAACACTTACTAATTAAGAGTTCATCTAATATAAAAGAAAGCAAGGGTTTTTAGCCCATAATCACTATTGGAATACACATAAACAAAAGGAAAACTAGGCTAAACATGATTAAACTAGGCAAACCGAATGAATATTTGTGAGTCCTTGCTCTAATCTCTTTATCATTTGATCTCTAGTCCAATTCTATCCTCAAAGGGTTTTTCTTCATTAATAATCGGAGCTCTAAGGCCTCTAACCTCTAGAGACAACCTAATGTCCCGAATATATATACTTTCCTACTTCTGGACACCATGTCGTGGTTACACCCCAGCACGTCATGGTCCTTGTGGATATCTTGTATTCTCCAAGTCAGCTCAATAATCGCGAAGTTTTCATTCACCATGTTATTGTAGTGATTAGCACGTCATGATCGTTGGGAATCAAACTTTTCTCAAAACACGAAAGTCGTCCAAAATTTTGTCTAGTTTTCTGATCATTTTGAATCCATAAATTGGAGTTACAAGTCATGATATATGGCTAAAATACTAAAGAGGTGTCAAGTTGTCTAGCAACATCCTTTTTTGTGTCTTTTATTATCTTAACCTCTCCATTCCTTACTCCAGCTCCTTGTTTGCTTCATTTTCATCTCGAGCATGTATTTTTTACTACAAAACATATTTTAAACATAATAAGCACCTTTTCTCCCATATTAATCATAATTATAGCTAAAAGTACTAGAAATATGCATTAAATACATAGTTAAATATGAACACATCACCAAACTGTTGGATAACTCAATACCTAGTGGTTACTTAGCCCAAAACACCCAAATGGAAGAAATTACTATAAGTTAGTTATATGTGTAGATAGGATTACATATATATATATATATATATATATATATATATATATATATAAAATAAGTATAACCTACAACATAACAAGAGCAAAACAACTGTAACATCGCAAAAATATGGATAAAATTTTTATTTTTAAATCATTAAGGCATACAACCATTTGTTCCAAATCTAGACAAGGTAAAAATGTGTTTTCCAAACATCAGAGTAATTCAATAACAAATAGTGCGGAAAAGCCATCAGGGGTTGTTGTGTAGTCAAGTCGTGCCCTTCCCCTTGTAACTGGAAGTACCTCAAAATGTTTAAACCACAAAACCGCAAGCACAAAGCTTAGTGAGTTCCCCAAAATATCACATACCATACAAAGGTTTCATCCCAACATATAAACGGGCCCAACCCAACATACAATGGGCCCAACCTAGCCCAGTGTATCAATGAGCCCAACCCAACTTACAAACGGACCCAACCCAACTTACAAACGGACCCAACCCAACATACTGTGATACCAACCCAACATATTGTGATACCAACCCAACATACAATGGGCCCAACCTAGAAAACCCATGAAAAAGTCACAAAGACAACTAACTTCCTACACAGTATAGTGAGAAGACTCACCTTGCTAAAGAAAACAATAGTTAACAGCCTATTGCAGTCAAAAGCAAGTGCTACACACCTTCTAATAATCACACAAGATGAACTCTTAATTCACCCTCTAACACTAGCCAATTGTCCAAAAGTCAACCGATGCCAAAAGTCAACGGTCAGGGTTAAAGTTAATAATTATCATCAACAAGCCTCAATGTCATGGCCTCCCTTTGGTCACATCGTGGTTACATAATGCCAAAACAGATAGGTTGATCCTTAGTTGCCATGTTGTGGCAGCCAGAAGGCCACATCGTGGAAACTAGATCTAAATATCTTAATGGATTAAGTTGTTTTCCTTCATCCGTAAGAGCTCCAAAGCTCGGATGTGAATACTCTCTAAGGTCTTGATGGATAAAGTTTCAAACTTTATCCATTAAGATACCTCAATAAGACAAAACCTCTTAGCCTAAGTTCTTAATGAACTCATGAAGCATGGACTTATCCATTAAGATCTTAATCACCAAATTCATTCATCTATATCTTCCAAAACGCTTACCTACACCTAATAGATCATAAAAATTGGTGCTTTTTGGAAATGCATTTCCAATGCATGTCTCTTCCTTTTTAGGTCAAAAGTATGGGAGAAAGGAACTCAAACATATTCATGGGACAAAAATCTTCAAGAAACTCTAGATCTACAACATATGTCCTCAAAGGGACCTCAAGGATACATAAAGTTGCTAACTTTATGGAATTCATTCCTTAAAACTTCCACAACCATGAAGAAAAGAGACAAAAAACCCAAATCTAGATGCATGGAACTTAAATCTTGGATCTTGAACACTTAGAAAGGTCTAAAATATGCAAAAGATAATGATGATGAGGTTTCCTTAGTAGATCAACACATCAGAACACCTTCTTCTTCTTATTTTTCTTCTTCTTCAAGCTAGCAAAAGTACCAAAATGAGCAAAAAATCACCAAGAGATATTAGGGTTAGAGTTTCTGAGATTTGAGAGTGATGGAGGTTGGAAATGAAACCATAAATCCGAGATTAGGGGGTTAAATACGATGGAAACCGCAAAAGATCATAGACGTAGGCTACAGCCCTTGTCACGTCGTGACAATACTCATGTCACATCGTGACATTCTTCCAAATATACATTCTCAGTTTGGCTCATCACGTTGTGACCTTCCTATGGTCACGTCATTACAAATGTTTTTCCCTAAAAATCCTGCCTTTGACTCCTTTATGCCATACACTTATTAAATCTGGAAAACAGTTGTTACAACAACAACACACGATATGACGAAAACACATGACGACAACATATTGTCTAGATAAGATACTATTTCTCCTTACCTAAATGACCTTTAGCTGACCTTGGCCTATAATCATATAATCTTTTAAGTGAGCCGAAATATATGTTTAGATCTATATGGGGTTGACACCCCTCACATGTGGTTTCTAACTACAACCTGATGGTCAATTCAAAGCAGACATAACTTTCTAAACTTTGGCGATATCCGAAGAAGCACCATCGTGGGGAGTACAACAATCATAAGCTCGATTATAGGAACTTATCGTAACATGATTAGACTTTAACTATCTAAAACTACTATTAGGAATAAACCTAAGAATGTAGTGATAGCATACACAAACTCAAGGATGCAAGTTTAATAACATTAATATCATAACAAAAACTCTACAAAACATTTTAAAGCATATAAACCCATAAACTCATAAACATTTTGTTGACCTTTCAAAACCACATGTATTCTCAGGAGAATGAATTTGGAAGATGATGGAAGCACGACCAAAAGCCTATGTGTTATGTTATTTTATTTTTCCTTTATGACATATTTGCACCTCGAACACCTATGTAGTATTTTTATGTAATAAATAAGAAGTAATGCTTGACATTTTGATGTGTGTGTGTGTGTGTGTGTATATATATATATATATATATATATATATATATATATAATGTCCTAACGTCGCACAGTCGGGCTTTTCCGTCGTCAGCCAGGGGTGTGACAAATTGGTATCAGAGCTACAGGTTATAACAATTTAGTAATCCCTTAGGAAGTACGACTATAACCTAGGGCTTACACTCTAACTAGGTTTAACCCATAATCCCAACAACAAAAAGTATTATTAACTATTACACTACTACTAATCTACTTATGGGAGAGGTGACTAGTTTGAACTTGTCGCTTGGGTTGATGGATTTCAGAATGGCTATATGCTAAAATAGTCATGCCCTCTGACACTTCATATCTAGCTAATCCTTAAATGATAGTCTTGAACTACAAAACCAAAGATTAATAAAATACACTCGAAAAAACAAGAATATATATATATATATATATATATATATATATATATATATATATATATATATATAAACTAATATACCTACTTACCACAACATGAAATCATAAACTTAGGATTTTTTTGTCAAATATACTATCTAGAGTTAGTACAGTACATCAGTCGTTCCCCAACTAGACCTAGAATGTGCAACTAAGTTTTATTATGGTTTGATCGATGCACGACTGAACTCGGATACGATAATTGACAAGCTAAACACCTAAGGGCTAATAGATTGTATACTTTGTTCGATGATATTATATTAGAGGATTTCTAACTTACAGATCTCTACACTTGAGGCGTCCTGGCTTAGAGACTACTACACTTAAGGATTTTTGGATTGTGGATATAGCTTCGAGTTACTTAAACATTCAAGATTGACAGGCTAGTAGTGAGTCACGGGAGACACATGTACTATCTATTACACATTTATAATTGTAAATTATTTGTAATTTCTTGATCATCACATTTCTCATAAACATCTATCATGTTTTATGTCTTATATAGGTTTGTTGGAGCATTATGGTGGATATGGGGATGTGGATGACAGCTCCCTACCAGAGGAGGATCAGGTGGTACCCGACGCAGCTGACTCTAAGGACACTCTTTCCTCAATAGTCCGATCGATACTCACCCTTATGGATTCTAAAGAGGATCCAATGGAGGATGATGATGAGGGAGATGCTGACGGTGCTATAGGTTCACACACCTCCAAACCTACCAAGGACGACTCCACCCATGAGGGTGATGGGTTTTACACACAAGAACTCTCCTATGTGCTCATGCAAACCCTAATGCTTGGATCTAGGTTTCTATATTGTACATGCATTGTATCCAAGACTTACAAACCCTAATCTAGCATACATATTTCGAAAATATCAAGATATAATAGATCTAGATGTTTACCTCTTCAAAATCTTGGATCTTCTTCTTCTTGGAGCTTAGAGTCACAAGTGTAACTCCTCTAATGGCTTACAAACACCAAAAAAGCAAGAAGGCAATATGAGAAAGAGGGAGAGATACTAAAAGTCTTCCCTAAGGTTTCCTTTAGGATCAAGTGGTCGAAAATTGCATGTAGGGGTCTCTATTTATACTTTAGGTTGCTAGGGTTTTAGTCAAAACCCTAATGGAAAGATTAATCACCAAGTAGCCCATGGAACCTTCTAGAATATGGCATATTGACGAAATTATGATGGGCTTTCATCATAATTTCATTCATCCTTTAATCCATTAGGTTTCCCATCCCAAAAACCAACTATCACACATTTGACAGTTTAAACACCTATATTTAATTAATCTCTTTTAGCCATTAAAGTAATTCCTAATTAATTTATGACTAATATTAATTAAATAATATGATTTCCCTTTTAATATATTAATCATATAATATATTAATAAATAATAATATCATCTCTCCATAAATTACCTTGTCAAGTTACTTTGGTGAAGGCAACCCAAAAGGACCATGCACAACCGGGTCAAGTTCATACCAAAAATAGTTTTGAGCTTAAACACTAATCCAATAGTCTCCCACTTGGATAAGTCTGACAACTATATCTCACATATGACTTCAGGATCCGGTTAGCAATCGTAGCTCTTATATGCTGCTGCCAACTCTTATCAAAATCATGTCCTTTAGATAAGGGATCGTATAATCCTCTGTTCTATATATCATGTTGACAATCACATGGAAGATAGTCTTACTTATTGTTCTACTCATTTTTCTCGATCTTTGATTTGTTTGACATAGAACTTAGTTGAACACATTAACTTTGTCCTGACCGGGCCTGACACATAACTCAAACCAAATCATCAAGTGGCCAGATATCGTTTTCATCCTATTGGAATAAAAGGAACAGATAAACTTCAACTCATATGCTCTTATTATTCATTGGCTAAATCATACACAACAATATGTTTTATAACATCAAGTTACTAATGCGTTTACACATTATCAATGCACGACCAACCAACAAATAATAACCATATCTCTAGGTTTAAAGATTATATGATATTATCGTCTTGCGATCACTCGTGACAAATTCCATGAAGTGATACCAGCAAGCGCGGGTTTATTCCAATGCTCAAATCACAATTCACAAGCACTGATGAACTATGCAGCAAACCTTTGCCATGCCTAAAACCTTTTAGACAGTCTACAAACAAATTCATGATAGTCTTCTTTCATATCTACCTCCAACATATGAGCGACTGTGAACTGTTTGAATAATCTTATTATTCAGGAAGTCAAAATTGAAACAATAGATAAATAATCAACACAAGATAGTAGCTTTACTCATAAATAATACACCTTTATTTATTCATCAAATGTCAAGAACAAATTATCTATTCCACGTTTCCTATTGATCTAATCTAAACTTATATCGTCCTTCAGCCCTATGCTCCTCGCATGCCGCAAGTGCATAACCCTACTCAGTTCCTTTGTAAGGGGATTTGTTGGGTTATCTTCTGATAATACCCTCTTCACCACGAGGAGTCCTTCTTCTACCTGATATCTAATGAAGTATATTTTCTGTCGATATGTCTGGATCCGCCATGATCCTTTTGTTCCTTGGTCAAAGCGACCGCACTTTTATTATCACAAGAAATCTCCATAGGCTCCTTTATGGATGAAACAAATCCAAGGTCTCCAATGAAGTTCTTAAACCATATTTCCTCCTTTGATGCTTCACTTTCCTCAATGTATTCTGGTTCACACGTTGAATCATCTACCGACTCTAGCTTGGAACTTTTCCAAGTCACTGCTCCTCCGTTAAGGGTAAAGACCCAGCCAAACTGCGATCGGTAACTATCCCGATCTGTCTAAAAACTAGGGTCACTATACCCTCATACCCTTAAGTCATCACTCCCACCAAGGAATAGAAACCATTCCTTGGTCATCCGAACGTACTCAAGAATATTCTTAACTGCAATCCAATGAGCTCTACCAGGGTTTCCCTGATATCTGTTGACCATGCTTAAAGCGAAGGCCACATCAGGGCGAGTACAAGTCTTAGCGTACATGATTGAGCCAACTACATAAGCATAAGGTACTTGGCTCATGTCATCTATCTCTGCCTCTGTACTCAGGCTCTGAGTCTTACTCAACTAGGTATTGTTTTGGATTAGCAACTCCCCTTTCTTGGAATTTTCCATACTAAAACGCTTTAGTACCTTATCTAAGTATGTATCCTGACTGAGTCCTATCAATCTCTTACTCCTGTTTCTTACTATCCTTATTCCCAGAATATACGCAGCTTCTCCGAGGTCCTTCATAGTGAAGCACTTCCCAAGCCAATACTTGACTTCCTGCAAGGTTGGGATGTTGTTTCATATGAGTAGTATGTCATCGACATACAATACGAGGAAGATCACTATACTCCCACTGGCTTTGACATATACACATGACTCATCTTCGCTTCGAAGAAAACCAAGCTCTTTAACCTTCACGTCGAAACAAAGATTCCATCTGCGAGACATCTGCTTCAATCCATAAATGGATTTCTCTAGATTGCACACTCTATTGGGGTGCTTCGCATCGATAAATCCTCTAGCTGATTCATGTAAACATCCTTAGCTAACTTCCCATTAAGGAAAGAAGTTTTAACGTCTATCTGCCATATTTCATAGTCATGAAACACAACTACTGCGAGCATCACCCTAATAGACTTTATTTTCGAGACTGGTGAATATGTCTCATCATAGTCAACTCCTGGAGTTTGAGTAAAGCCCTTCGGAACCAATCGTGCTTTATAAGTGTGCACTTTCCCATCCATGTCCGTTTTCTTCTTGAAGATCCACTTGCACCCAACCGTCTTACGACCTGGTACATTATCAACCAAATTCCAAACTTAGTTTTCGTACATAGACTGAATCTCATTGTCTATTCCCTCTTTCCATTTAGCAGACTCTGGGCCTACCATGGCTTCCTTGTAGCTGCTTGGCTCATCAAAATTTACTAGTGTACTATCACTAATAAATGTATCCCCTTCAGTAGTAATATGGAATCCATACAACTAGGGTGGAACACTAGCCCTAATGGAACGTCTAAGAGGTAAGGATCCGTCAACAGGTTCAACAGGAGCTTCCTGCTCAGGTTGATTGCCAGTGTTAGAGGTTCCTTCATCGCTCGGCTCTTGAAGCTCTTCAAGATCGATTTTCCTCCCATTGTCCCCTTGGCATATGAGTTCTCTTTCTAGGAAAACCCCTCTTCTCGCAACTATGACAAAATTGTCACTCGGTCTACAGAAGAGATATTTGAAGGAAGTTTGTGGGTAGCCGATGAAAATACATCGCTCACTATGAGGTTCGAGCTTGTTGTGAGTCTCTCGTCTTACGAAAGCCTCGCAACCCCAAACCTTGATATGTGCCAACGAGGGAGCTTTCCCTATCCACATCTCGTGAGGTGTTTTGGTAACCTTCTTCGTGGGAACTAAGTTAAGGATATGTGTGGCAGTCTCTAAAGCATACCCCCAGAAAGATATCGGTAACGAAGTCCGACTCATCATAGAACGAACCATGTCCAACAAGGCTAGATTATGTCTCTCCGCCACACTATTCAATTGTGGTGTCCCCGGAGGCGTCAATTGTAAACAATTCTGCATTCCTTTAGATAGTCGTGAAACTCAAGACTTAGATACTCTCATCCTCAATCAGATCGAAGCATCTTGATTTTCCGGCCCAACTGATTCTCCACTTCATTCTTAAACTCTTTGAACTTTTCAAAGGTTTCTTACTTTTGCTTTATTAAGTAGATATATCCATATATGTTATAATCATATGTAAAAGTCACGTAGAAGCGACAAGCATCCCTTCTGGTGGATCTAAAGGGCCCACAAACATCTGTGTGTATGAGATCCAATAGACCCTCACCCATTGCACAAGTGCCAGTAAAGGGTGACTTAGTCATCTTCCCATGTAAACAAGACTAACACGTGTCATCAACCCTAAGTTCGAATGACTCCAATATTCCATCCATTTAGAGTTGGTCTATGCATTTCTTGTTGACATGGCCAAGGTGACAATGCCACAAGCATGCTTTGTCCAAACTATTGGACAAATCAATATTCAACAAATCATTTCCTAAGTTGTCTACGACCAACACAGATTCATATATTCCATTACAAGGTAGTTCTTTAATATAGAAAATACCATCAAGATAAACATTAATAGAATCATTACTATTGTCAAATGAATATCGAAACCCTTGTCTATATAATCCATGAAAATAAATTGTGACAACCCGATATTTTAAATCAATGTAATGACCTAAAAAGTCAAGAATTGTAATCTCTTTTGATATATTGAAATTAGCATAAAAAATAAAATGCTCAAAATTCTCTATTGGGTTGCCTAAAATGATAGTTATCGTGTAAAGGTTTTCATGATATAAAGAACACTAAAATCCGAGTTATAACGAAGAAGTTATAACCAATCACAAAATTCGTGTCAAAACCGGTAAAACACAGACAAACGTAAAAAGAGAAATTTCAATAAAATACTTTTAAGCCTTAGGTATCTAAAAGAAAGTTGCAAATTATATTAAACTATGAATGTGCATAAAAAGAACGTCAAAATCCGACATCGTATGAGGAAGTTATGATTTTTCTAAGTTTCGGGATATCGGTAGACAGCTAAAAACGCGAAATAGAGATTTAGGGATTTTTGGCCGAAACAATCTAAATGAGAATCGAAGATCTCAAGAATAGTAGCGCAATGGTAAAAAGTCTGACGTTAACGGACACCAGATGAAGAAGTTATGGATTTTTAACGGACTTTTCCTGTCCCGGCCTGCTAAAAATATAATATTAAATGTAAAGTCAAAATTAGCTGACAGAGTCTAAACGAGAGTTGTAGAGCATAATTTCAACTACGCGTGGATATAAAGAACGTTGAAAACAGAGCTTGTACGTGGAAGTTACAGATTTTACAAGTTCGAGACACAAAATTCGAGGCTGTCAGGAAGCTCACGACGTGAGCCTGTAACTGATGGGTTTCAAAGCCTATCAACGAGTTGTCAAATCTATGGGAGGAGACCAGGCCGAGCTCATGACGTGAGCCACCCATGCTCACGACGTGAACCCTCAAATTTCACCCTTATAAATAGAAACTGATGGTTTCGGATTTAGATGCTCAATTCTCTTCTCTCTCGTGCCAAAGCTCTGCGTTTTAACCCCCGAAGCCCCGGTCTTCTCATCCAAGTTCCGAAGGGAGGTCTTACACTCCCGAGATTCCTGATAATCCCGAGAAATCAACTTTCTCCAGTCGGAGTTTTGCTCGTTTTTCATCTCACCTTCTTCAATCTATCAAGTAAGTTCATACCCGTACAACTACGTTTTCAAATGCTTTGTAAATGCTTTTATACACTTTTAAAGCGGGGGGGGGGGGGGGGGAATACAAGTAAACACACGACTATCCTCGTGTGAAAAACATAAACTTTTGTTATACTTTTTGTTATATACTCTATCATATGTGATTTATAACTATCATACGAACACGTTTTCATGCAAAATATCACGATAACACTTTGTCCTTTTGAAATAAAACATGTTATATAAATATCAAAAACTTTATTTATATTTTGAG